TGCGTTTTCAGAACGCGTTTTTTTCGCAGAAATTTACACCATGGGCAACAGCGGTCGATGAAAATGGGACTCGTGATTTTACTCATAGGTCTACTTCAGACAAGAGTGGTGTTTTGATAGTCAGCCAATTTCCAGAAAAATGTGATATAGCTATTCAACTGTTTTCTGTACCGAAGATGTCGCCTAGTGTATTGGGTCTTGAAGATGAACGTGAAGTTCTGATTTTATCACTAACAATCTAGCATGGTATAAAAATTGCCATTGACAAAGCAAGTGATCAATTCATAATTTACTTTGAATTTTTTTTATTGATGTTGTATACATGAATATGCGTATATTTTTAAATCTATGTATTGTCACTCTTTGTTTTGTTCATAGATCTTGAATTTGTTTTTCCCTTGATGCAACAAATAAAAACTTATTTAGATTTTTCAATGAAATACGAAGTTTCGAAAGTATGCTAGTCGATTGATCAGCGAATAAAAAGTTATTTTCATCCTAGACAAGTCTTGTGTTGTGTCAAATCGAAATTCATAATCAAAATTTTCAAGCGCTCAATGATTAATACTTTTTAAAAGTTTAAGATAAATCGATGAAATAAAATTTTTATAGTCTTGAAAAGAACTATTTAATTAAGATCCACGATAGACATACGCATTCATTTATCATTCCTTTCTGGTCAATTTCTAGATGGTCTTTTTGTAAGATTAAGGCGACTCACATTGCGTTTCAAGTTTTAATGAAATAGGGATTGAACTAGAAGCTTTTTTATCTGTTGTATAGATCTATAGTTTACGTAGTTCCTAATAACGGTGTGGGTGGTTGTGGGTATGCAGGCAATTAGTCTCTTAACCAACACCCGCACCCACACCCTGAATTCTCTTAATATATGGACTACTCAAATCAGAAACAGTGATGTTTCAACTGGTGAAATAACAGAAATGAATGCTAATTGATTGACGAAACATCTTATTTTCTCTGTGAGCTATGATTATTTTTAGAACTATTGTGACATCATGTTGTAGATGAGCAATTGATATCTAAAGATTATCATGCACTGGATATAATGCAAATGTTAGATTGATCAAACGAATGAAACAGAAGTAAGATTGACGACACGAGTTTTGTTCAAATTCAAATCTTTAAATAATTGCTACGACATAATTATGTTGAGCGATTGTTTTAGTTCAACAAATACTGAACTCTTTATCATGAGTTGTTATGTTAATGTGATTAAAAAACAAAGCGAAAAACTCGATATTCGCAGTGACTTTTCCAACAAGAAGTTACTGTTTATGTCGTGTCAGTTGATGAGCGACAAAAACAGAAATGAGGAGTACATCGACAATCATTGTTCCAGAAACAATGTTCCCACGTAAGTAAAAGCTAAATTTTACATTAATATTGTTGTTAAATACTTTGTGTTTTTTTAATGCTCTTTCCAAGGAAGTAATAATTGTTGACATGAAATAATAGTGACACGTGTAAATGGTTTGATTAGTTTTATTTTTGCAATTACAAGTTACTTAGAATTGTTCAATTTAAATTAAAGGTACCATCCTAAGTATAGAAAGAAAAATTGGATTTTTTTTTTACCGGTTAAAATTATCATTCTGATTCTATTCGTAGGCAAGAATAATCTACATTCGAATAATTGATGTGCAATACTTCGTCATCCTGTTAATTTAATTCCATGCCAATGATAAATTCGTAGTATTCAACAAGATAATCTTGTATATTTATGTTATTATGTGTAAGTCGTGATTTAATCGTAACTACATAATAATTAAACACGTATTTGTCTGTCTCTCTCTCTTCATATGACCATAAATGATTCATAATCGATATATCATGCACAATACACGTTGTTTTGTGCACAACAAGCCTGTATAAGACACTCCTATTCCTTTTTAAACTCATCCTCGTAGGCGAAATAAACGTATATAAAAAGAGAGAAATACATGAAAGAAAATATCAATATAACAAGTAGATGATGATTTCGTAGTTTTATTTGTCTTGGTCATGATTAAGTGTCTGTTCATAACAACATTCATCTATTTCACTACTCTGTTCATTTAATTTTTATTTGTTCATTTTGTCCATGTAGTTTTTTCCTAATGCAACCAGATTATTTGTCCTTTTTGAAATGATATTATTTTAGATTTTAAACTTCAGTGTTCGATATGACTCAATATTTCATCATATTGCTACTCTTTGCACTAGGTGTAAACCAAATCAGTTCATCTTCTAGCGAAGAATTGCAGCCAATCTGTGGCAAATGTATTCGTTATGTCCAAGGCTTCGATATTACCGGAGTGACAAATGATGTTCAGTATACATTCAGATCCAATCATATTATTAGTGCATGTGACTGTTACAGAAAATGTCTTGAAAACTTAAACACCTGCGCTAATTGGGTGTGGAAGTTCACGGATGACTCAAGTCATCGCACTTGCACGTTATATTCGAATTTCAATTTACCTCCGGGTGTGACAATTGGCTTCGATTTAGCCACATCAGTGAATATTGGCGTGATCAGTGGCGGCTCACCACAACGAGGGGGTCTTGTTCCTCACTGTCAATATTTCAACAGATTTGGAAATGCTTTTGGTTATGACAGATACTGCATTTCTGGACCGTATTGTTAAAAAGCTCAATTTCGTTCAAGATCTTTCTATTTCTTATTATCATTTCAGTATATTCTCTATTCACGCATTACCTACTTTTCCTTTCTAAAAACAAATAATATCATTCCATGTATTTCTCATTTGATAGATAATAAATAATCAAAATCAAAACATTCACTATATTAAGTGAAATCGAAGAGATAATCCATCGCTATCCTTGTGAACTATGGTGTTTATCAAAACGGACTGAGGACTTTTTTTTTGTGATATTCGCATCTGAATCAACGATGTTGGTAACAATTGAAAACAATACCTGAGCTTTGAGCATAGATGGTGAATTGATCAGTTTCTCTAGATAAAACTGATGAATAGTAAATCTATAAACATATCGAAGCTGACTTGAAAATTAAAGAAACAACTAAGATAGAATTAGAGGACTTTTCAGAATCTTCTCCACATTTTTACTAGGATAATTCGATTCAGATCGATTGAAAAAATAATTTACTACTTCGATTATTCTTGATTATCTCAGTCGTAATTCGATTTTAATAGTTAATCGATTGGCAAAAATAGTAATGAAGTGAAACTGATTATTTTTGTAATTAGGAGGCACACATAAGATGAATCAAACTTGTGAGGATACCAATTGCAAAGCCACGTTATGTACACAGAACGATTATATAGAAAAAGATAAAATTATGCAAACAATGGATTAATATCGATTATTAATGTAATTGCACTATCTAGATTGGAAACAATTTATATAGTACTTTCAAATACACTTTGTTTGCCGGATTTAGCTCGGTGACAACTTCACAGTTTCTAAGCACGAGCTATAGAAACAAATTATGCAAAGTTAGGTTTTTGCATATGATTAAAAGAAAAATACGGAAAAATCTGAGTTTCATTGGTTTTTCTGCATGAGAAAGGACTCTATTTAGTTTTATTTCATCATACCGGTTACAAACCAGTACAATCGTGTAAAAAATATAATCGATTAAAATTTAGATTTTATTGCAGAATAATTAGATTGTCATTTTCGATGATGCCATAAAATTTTGAAAGTTCAATCAGTTTTAATCGTTAAAATCTTTCATTGAGTAGAAAGGCTCAAACTAGCCTTGTCAAATATCATAAGACTTTCATTTTGATGTATGCAATGATTTGATTAATCATAAATGCGATATGGGAATGAAATATTTATGACAACAAGTGAATTTTTGATGCTGCTAGCTTCCCTTGTAAGATATAGACGGATCAGTAATACAAAAATCCTTCAGCATCCAGGCTTTTCTCTCTATTATAGTATTTACAGATATTTGAAGTAGTGCTTGAACATATATTACTAAATATGAAGGCACCATCAAATATAAACTTGATATCTGTATCATTGGTTTCTACATGTAAAAAAACACGATTAAGTTCCTTGCAGCGCCATTTTCATAGTTTCAAAATCGTGACGGACAATTTTTTTATTAGCAAATGCATCATGTTTCGCCTAAACTCGCGGCTTCTATATTTAAAAGCTGCTCATTTATACTCTGTTTTTAATAAAAATGTTTTACAAAAATATTTAAAAACATTCTCATTCGTAAACGAATCATAGTCCCCTAGTTTGATCATAGTTAATTTTCTAATTTTAAACCAGAAGCTCTTTACCTTTTATGATCACTGAGTTATGAGTCGTGTACTGTGAAACAAAAATCATACTGTATAGAGAGATGTGCTTAGAAAACGAAATTTTCTAAGAATCTAAGAAAATTAAACAAAAATAATCAATTGTCCATTTTGTAGAGTCTAAAATGTTTCATCTAATTAAATGTCTTGAACAATTTATTCATTCTAATTCAAATTCTTACCATAGATATACTTCTTAGAATTACACAGCTAGTCAAAAATTTAACATAGCTGCCATCTCATATTGTTCTTGAGAAATTCGAACAACACGATAAAATGTTGACTGTTTTTTTTTGAGAAAATCTATAGAACGACTTTCTATAAACTACTTTGTGAATAGCTGATGAAAGGCTCAACTTTATATCTTTTCTGTTATGGTGAATTTTAAAAAACACGAGGCAATGTAAAAGAAGATTTTTCATTAAATTAACGTCTATTACGGTACATTCATATTGAAGTTAGTTATATCTCAGCTAATATATCGTAAAATGTTGGAAAACTTATGCTATTTAACAGAGATCCAGAGTGCAACAGAATGCATTGCTCGGATATTGTTTAGTTCGACGTATTTTCAGTTGGTGTCGGTGAAGGTGCCAGTGTAATGAGTAAATCCTTCGCACTCTGATTCGTTTATGTAATTACCTGTGCCTAATTAACTGTCGATTCGTCAATCGAAAATCACTAGTTTCATACACATGTTATTGAATAAATGTTGTATGTTAAGTCATCCTTTTTTAGAAGAGAACGATCATAACTATTCATGGACAGGACTGAGTTTCCTAATTGGAATACCACCCTGTGTTAATGATTTGAATTCATTTTTCTTATTTCGAAGTTTCGAGACAGCTTAAACCAGGAATCTGACGAATCGTTTTGAATAAAAGGTTTGAGAAATGAAAGTAACGATAAGTCTTCAACTTTATTCTTGTGTCGTTATTTTATCGATTGATTAATAGGTTTCAACTGAATAAATAGTTTTCTGATTTGTTTTTCTACAAAAATGTTTCGATCTTGTTGAAGAAATCTAAGTTTTTATCGTCAAACGCGTTTTGTCATTTTTATAATTTATTACAAACTTCATACAACAATCATCTTAGTAGAAATGTAACAAAGGTATTTATTATAGCGATGACCGCTTAAAACTTTGTAGGAAACTTTCATTTTACAACAATTCATTCAAAATTGTTTTATATCACTGTTAAGTGGAGCTTGGATCAATATTGAATCGTTGTATCCGATGATTTCCATTATGGACAACATAGAAGTTGCCTTGTCGATCAAATGACAAATCCTGAGGAGAATAAAGTTGTTTTAGTTGTTTTTCAAGATTGTTTTCACCAACAACAACGGTACCTTGTTTAGCATCTTTTGACCAATACATCACTCGATTGTTTGGGTAGTCTGCCACATAGACAGTACCTAATTGATCAACAATTACTCCACGAGAAACGGACAATTGAGCTAGATCATTTCCTATACATTGACCTCCAGCAACGATAATCCCTTGTGTTGCATCTTTTACCCACTTCATCAAACTATAATTGTTTTGATTTGATATGTAAATTGAATAATCTTGATTGACAAAAATATAACCAGGACCATTGAGCTGATCCAGACGATTACCTTGTCCATTACCACCTGCTACTATTGTTCCACAAGTATCTTCTATTCTCTATCGTCTTACTTCATGGTTCTCGTGATCAGAAACATAGAAATATGCATCACTATTCATTACTAGTCCTATGCATCCAATATCGGAAATAATTATTTCTACACTTGTGCCATTTTGACGAGGCCATCGCATCATTCGACTGTTTCCTCGATCACAGATAATGAGAAAACCTTTCTCTTTATCACCAATCACATCTGCTAGATTATTTAACTGATCCATTCCCATCTGCTACGACTTGGCCATTTGTTGCTCCATACTTCCAGGGTGTGGGTGTGGGTGTGTGTTGGGTGGAATTAGAACACCCACACCTGAGTTTAGCAAAGAAACATGAAAATACAAAACATAGAACATTACACGATATGTATTTAATCGTATTATACAGTATCACATGAGATCGATTATCGAGCATAAAAGAAATTCAACTCGATCGCAACCTACCGAAACGAAAGAAGAATCTTATAGAGTTGTAGGAGACTTCTAAAATAATATATTCATCGACAGGAGAAGAAGGTTAGGATACGTACCAAACAGGAAATTAGTTCGGTTTGAACTTCTTATAAACACGTAGTCGGTTCCATTCTTAAAAGAATAATTCACTCTGATTGCTGATAAGAACTATATCAACTCAGAAAACATTCTGGGTTAGGGAATGTGGAGATCTAAAACATCGATATAGAAAAAAAGATACAGAGGTTTCTTTTACAATTCACTTTATTTTAAGAATTCAAATAAATTCATAAGAAAATGACATCCGTAGTATAGTTATATCAAAAATTAGTTATTTAATAAAATAAATATCTAAATTTCAGGTTTTTAGACATAAGATATTCAATAATTGAACCCAGCTTAACTAAAATTGATTGAAATAGTCATTAAAACTTGATAAGATACCTATGATGTATATCTTGTAAATATTCTGCCATTAAAGTCATTGTCCTCAAGTAAAAATCCAAAAATAAATTGTAAAAAGTTTCTATTATGAAGGTAAACATGATTAGAATTGTACCAACAAATACTTAGGGCAATCTAAAAGTCATGGCGGAGGCACCTTATTTTCGTATAACAATCGGGAAGAACGTATTTTTATATAGCGAAAACAATAATAACGTTCTATTTTTCTATGGCATTTGATCACTCTTCAAATAATATCATAATAATAAAGCTTCGATAAAGACTGTTTGTCTGTAAAACTTGACTATAAGATTAAATCATATCGTCATCCACGTGTATTCTCTATGTCGTTTTTTTTCGTTCTTCTTTTCTCTTTTCTTTCATTTTTTTTCTCGTTTCTTTTGATACCTAGCCATCCATCCATACATATATTTATATTAAGCCACATGTATTGTTCTTTTTGTATGTATGTGTGGTTTGTTTGTACATTTTCAAGAAAGTCACAGGAATAAAGTCAGATTAAACATTAACACTATTCATCTGTTTGAGATGAAGACGGAAAATTTTCTTTTCTTTATTAAAGTGTTTACCACACCTAACATTCAATCAAAGTTATTCATAATGACTCGTTATACACCTTAGGATCTGGTCGAATTTCAATGAGCTAAACAAGTTCGAATATGCAAACAAAATTTAGTAAAATTTGAAGAAGCAGCATGGCACTTATGCGATGTGATGACAAATGACGAGTCGTAATTTTATCATAAACAAAGTGGTCGAAAGTCATCAAATGCTGCGTGCATGGCAAGAAGAATCCCTTCGTCTACCATGGTTCAACGCGGTAAATTTGCTCCAAAATCCTTATTCTTATGTTTTCAAAGTCAAATGGTACTGTTCTGATTCGTCATATGGAACGGGGATAAACTATTGACCGAAAGTATTATACCAACAATTGTTTGCAACTTTTCGTCAACTACATCAAACATCAAAAATCCTTATTTAGCATTCGTGGTATTAAACTTGCACAAAATAATAATGAAAGACAATATATACATAAAAATGTGTCCAATAATCTTGAATCGGAAGGCACTACAATAATACCACATCCATCAAATTCTACTGATCTAGCACCATATAAGTTTTGGTTGTGCGATTTAATTAAGCAGAATCTAAGAGATGAAATCGATGCTGAATCACTGTATGATATTGAAACCAAGTTCATGTGTCTTTTGGTTAAAGAAAAGTACAAAAAAAGCCTTCGATAAGTGGATGCAACGATCGTAGTTGTGTTTGGATAAACAAGATGATTGTTTTGAACGTTTGATGAAATAAAATCTTGCTGAACCTGTTTCCGTGTTTCTTTTATTCTATCACTATTACTTTATTGTACACTTTAATAAATACGGATGGCTAGACATGAGAAGAGACGAGAAAAACAATGAAAGAAAAGAGAAATGAAGAACGAATAAAAGAAAAACAAAAAGAAAATACACATGGATGATAATAATATGATCTAATCTTACAATCAAGTTTTTCGCAAATAAAGTTTTTATCGAAGTTTTATTCTTATCAAATTAGTCTGAGAGAGATCAAATAACACAGAAAAATAAAGCATTGCTATTTCTATCATTATAAAAAAGATTCCTTCAAAATTTCTATACAGAAAATAAGCATCTCCGTCACTGCTTTTCGACTGCCCAAAGTAATTATTAATTTGAATAGATAGATATGTCGAAGCTATATCATTGAATGCTTCTTCAACAGTAAGTTCTCTCCGAATATTATTAAAATAAAAATTTGCCCTTTTTAATCAATGTTATTCTCTGATTCAGAATTGTTTTTTTTTCGTAAAATTCAGTAATAATTCAAATAATGAATTGCTTGAAGATAAATTTCTATACAATGAAGATTCTAATTCAATATAACCTTAATTATTCGTCGCTTATAACATATCGAGTTACGATATTGTAAGAGGATGAAATATCAAGACGGAAGCTATTATCAAAAACAAAAATAAAACAAGCGCTTTTTAAAATAAAAAACCTTAATTTGATGAATCTGATGTTGATGTAGATTGTAATGTTGATAATGTGTCCGATGTTCTATGCAAATGTACATCATGTTTTTGTAGTGTTTCCTTTGTGTTACTCAAATAATAGAAAAGAAAATCATCGAATATGATATCATTCACTTGTAGTCAAATATCTAGAAACTTTTAATTATTAATTACAATTTCGAGGTGAAATTGTTGGAATGATATATATTGAAGATAATGTCATAGCAGTATTTTTATTTAATTCGATCGATAAAAACAAATCGATTCATGTAAGTCAAATTCTATATTTTATTGTCCTAACAAAAAAAGAAAATTTATATATTGAAATTATGTATACAAGAATACAAAGAGAAAAGTTTTTATAAGTCAGTAATAAGTTTTCGTCTAATATTCAATTCATCTTCTCCAGTTCTTGGATCAAATTCTCGGAAAAATGTGCAATCAAGTGGTTCAGCTAACATTAATTCACATGTTGTATGAACAGTAAGAGAACGGACTCGACCACCAATTAATGAACCTGTTTCAGGATCAGCAAATGAACCCATTATATGATGAGAGTCTTGATCAAATGTTCCACTCAAAGATACAATATCATATTCTTTTCTATTTAATTGATGAGAATTTAATGAACATTCTGCTAAGTTTCCAACACAATTTAAAATAAATAATGATTGTACACCCATATCTTCCATTAATTCATGAATTGTTGAGAGTAATTCAACACCAGGACCAATGCGAAGTGGATAACATCGAATTTCTGTACTTGCTGGAGCTTCTATTTATTTTAATTCATAAATAAGAATCAATTAAATTAAATTAAATTAAATTAAACTTACGACGAGGAGTTCGCTTTTGTGATTTTATTTTATTTGTACGCGCCAAAATGCTATTGATTGTATTTACTATCACAGGCATTTTGATTTCAGTAGCTACTGATTATTTTCTCGATTTGTATGCTTCAGTGGCTTCTAACTACAGCTTATATACTAGTTAGTAAATAATGCATTTAAGAACGAGACGAGACGTCGCGATTGTTTCGTCACGGACACCTCGCTCATATGAAAACAACCTACATAAAATATATCTTCCTTCTGTAATCAATAAATATTTATTAACCAACAATATTAAATATATGTTTTTTGCATTTTTTTGTAAGTACTTCAAAAAATATTTTTTTTTATTAATCAAATAAAAATTAATATGAAACTTTTTTTTCAAAAATTGAAAATAATTTATTCTTTTCTTGGTAATCTGATTATATTTTGTTGCTTGTTATGATAGACAATACGTAGGTATTATTTGACCGAACCTTCAATGTTTAATGTCATGATAGGAAAAAACACAAAGTACAGACATCTTTTATTGTGACAACTTATATTGAAGAAAAACATTCATTTTTTCGTCTTCGTTGTTAGATTAATAAACAAGGTCAAATTTTGTCTGGCTAGCAATGATGAATTACAAGTTTGTAGTTTTACATTAACAACAGTTTATGATCATGCTCTTCTTGTTTCTCACACACAGAACGAATATCACATTTCATTTTTCTTTTATGATTAGTGTCTAATCATTGAATATTACAAGTCAACCGAAAAAAAAAACAAGATTTACTCATAAGCGTTATTAAATCATCATAAGAGTAAATGAATCAGAAATATTACTTTTGATTTATAGAATAATTAACGAAAAGAAAATAAATTGTTAAACAATTAGATTGATATAATTAGTTAATTATTCGTCTTGAATATAATTTAGTAGAACTTGTTGAATAAATGATGTATTTATGCTTTATTTTGAAAAAGAAAGACTGATAAATACGAGTATAATCAAAATAATAATCTGAATTAGGTTAAGTAAACAACGTGACTCGTCGTTAGATACTTCTATATAAAAATAATACAATAAAATCCAGCATAATCTCAAATTAGAATATTTCTCCGATGAATTTTTATGATAAAATAATCTTTAAATATACATTATCAATAATTAATCTACCAAAGTCTGTTACCTAAGCAAATTAAATAAGTTCGATAAATTGTATTTAAATTCGAGATTAATTTACGATTTAAACCAATTCAAACGAGATAGATAAATTGAATAAAACAAACATCACGATCAAAATAATTTTGAAATACACATAGAAAAAAATATACGAATAAACTGATTCGATGTAGTATAAGCAGAACGAAAAGCGTAATAATTAATTTTTGTGTCAATAGTATTTAATTTTTCAAGTAAAGTCAAGCTGGTTTTTCACTAATGACAAGATAATGATGATCAGATTGAATTTATTTTTGATGAGTACATATAGTTACACTCATTGCAAGTCGAACACAAATAGAATGATAAATTAAATCAATTTCAATATCTTCAAATTTGTTTAGTTGATTATAACCACGAATAAGATTTGTTGCTGAATCAATTGGATCTTGTTTATCTAACATAATATAGGCACATGCTATAGCAACTTCAATTATAAGAAATATTGGACACATCTCCAAAATCACTTAAACAGATATTATCTTCATCAACAATAATTATATAATAATCGTGAGCATTATTATGAATAATAGATTTTCGAAGTGATGAAAATAAAGGAACAACAACTTGAATATAATCTTTAAGATTATCTTCAATTATTTGAGGATGATTTAACAATTAAATTTTTATATTTATTAATTATATATTCAGCATTTATTATATTCCAATAAATATCACATTTTGCAGATTCACCTTTAAGTTGAATAAGAGATTTATCTATTATTCTAAGAAGTTTTTCTACATTAAACATTAATTTAGGATTATAAGATCTCTAATCAGCTAAAGGAATTCTTGAAAGATAACTAACAAGACTTATTAAATGATATTTATATTTAACAATCATTTTCCATTTAATGTGTTTCATAGAACGATTTTGCATATGAGTAACTAAATAAGTTTCATCAATCTTTGAAATCTTTAATATAAATTTTGATTGTTGACGCTGGAAAAGAAACTTTTGATCACGTTCACTGGGTCATTAACAAAAAATTGATTTGAATCGTAATATTGAAGAACAATCTCTTTTATATCAGTATGACACGGAAAAAACAAATTGATTATTTAACAATATTTTATTTTTGTTGTTCATTAATCGTAACCAATTGAACATTCAATAATGAGCTTTTTTATTCTATTTAACTTGAATTATTATATTATGGGCCTAATCATAAATAATTTTTGAGTTTGAACATAACCTAATGGACAGAACAGGATTAACTAAAAACTTTAATTTTAAATTAAACAAAAGACCGTCTAATGAATCATTCGAATAATTGAATAAGTTCTGTCGATTGATTTATCATATAAATGAATAAAAAATTTCAACGTACGATTCATATTCTTAAAGCATATTCATTATTTTTTATTTTCGTTAGTTTCCTATGAGACTTTATCATTCTTTTTTCTATTGCTCGACTTAGTAACAGCTTGTATCAAATGAAAATGTGATATCTTCATGTTATGTAAGTTGATTAATAGAAATTTAACATGAAACAATAAAGTTACTGAATAAAAAAAAGTGTACCATTGAATTAAATTGAATTGAAATATATTGTTCAAATTTTAGAATAAGGTTTAGCAATCATGTTTCTTTATATTAAAGGTTTTTTTTTTATGGACAATTATTTGACTGTCACATTTCTATTATATTGTTATGAATAAAGTTATTTTTATGAATGTGCTTTGACAAAAAATCTAAATTATATGTGAATAAAATATTTAAATTAACTAGCCAAACTTTCTCAGCTTAAACATTATATATTATCTAACAAACTCATATGCCCCGGTTATGGTTTAAATATATTACTTCAAATAATAGTTATATATTTAAATAAAAAATATTGAGAACATTTTCTAGAAGATGGACATGATTATCGTGTTTACTGGTCATTTATATTATACATGTATTGTAAATTATTGAAATCTAGATGTATTTTTTTATTCAATTGTCCATTTTATTGTAAATATGGTTACATTTATTGATTTATTGTTTTTCTTTTTACCAAATCTTTCAATAAGCCCCCTCTCCTCCTCCCCAGAGTAAAAGCCCATTGAGCTTCTATTAATTTTGAAAATTATAAGTTTGAAGGTGGGCTTCTATTTCAACCCACTTTTTTTCGTCTTCCACAGTAAAATATGAAAAACCATTCTCGACAAAAGCGCACTAGCATTGTAGGGAATGTATTAAGACCTCCTTAAAAACTGATCTCAGCCCAGAAGCATTCAAATGGTATGACATTTTCAACATATGTTAGGGCTGGAGTCGAAAAGCTATGGTCAAATTTACAGACAAATATGATAACATTTGAAGACGATATTGGTCAAACAAAGGTGAAAAATAGCGTATTTGATAAACCTAATTTCTCTGTTCACGTTCATTTTATATATTTAATTTCTTTTTGTTTGAAAGAGCATGTCAGGATGCAATGCAATCAAGTGCTCTTCTTTTTAAACTCTTCTTTTTAACGGGAGAACAGAGATCGAAAATTAAATGACTCAAAAACATTTCCAATACGGCTCTCTATTTATATAAATGTTCGTACATATAGTAAAAGCAAAGTTTAATCAAACGGAAGGGTTCTGTACTGTACTGCATCTTGACGTGCTTTCTCAAGCAGAAAAAGTTCAATATATAGAATGAGTATTATCAGAGAAATTTGGGTTGCACGATCAAGAAAACATAAACGCAGAAAAAGCGAAAAATGTTTTGCGTTTTCTGAATGCAGTCTACCTTTGAATAGGGGATGACAGAAATCTTCAAAAATTTTTGTAAAAAAACGAGGTGCTGAGTAAACATTGTGTTGCTTATGAAAAATAATATCACGACCTATCTTCCCATGTATAGGAAAAGGTCCGTGTGTCGAGTCCTTCGAACGGCGCATGGGCTCCGCAATTCATTTGTTAGTTCAAGTTGTCGTCTATGTCCACTAGCTATCGACATTTATAAGTAACAAGAACTACAATGAAACTATAATAGGAAATAATAGCTGAATGTATTAAGACGAAAAAGAAATATTTTACAATGACATAATTCATAGCTACATGATATTTAGCATGAATAATGAATCGATATAACTGTAAATAAAATGTTTGTCGAATATTTATGAACATTCGTTTAGGAAAATATATAATACACTAGAAAGTTTGTTCAACACAGCAATATCAGTCTTTCCATCTTTGTTGAAATCGTAGGCTACCGCAGGACCTGGACTACTACTGGTTCCATATCGTTTTCGGCTTGGAAATGTCATACTACCATCGCCAAACAGCACTTGCATATTATGCGAAAGTCGACCGACAACTGCTATATCCATTTTGTTGTCATTATTAAAATCGCTTGACATGACATGACTTGGTTCCCTATCAACATCGTATTTCTTTTGAGCTTGAAACGTTCCATTTCCCCAGCCCAATAAAATACTAATACTATGATCACCTAGATTGGCCACTACGAGATCCATGATCTGATCACGATTTAAATCAACTGATATTACAAAATTGGGGCTAGCACCACATTTAAATGTTTTATGAGTTTGAAAAGAACCGTTTCCATTTCCTAATAGAACGCTAATATTCTGAGCACCTAAGTTGGTGACTGCTAGATCCATTTTGTTGTCATTATTAAAATCACCCACGACTACAGAACTTGGTCGCTTAGCAGTCGCAAACTGTGTTCCATTTTGAAACGTTCCATCTCCATTACCCAACATCACAGTGATGCTGTCTGTGTGATAATTGACAATAACCAGATCCAGCATCATGTCATTATTCAAATCATGGACTACTACGAAGTGTGGCAAGGAATAAATCTTCTGTACTATTTCAGATTGGAAGATACCATATCCATTACCAAGCAGTATAGTAATACTATGATCGACTGAGTCAGTCAATATCAAATCCAATTTGGTATCATTATTGAAATCACCTGTTGCCATCCAATTGGCTTTCTTCTGAAGCTTGTACGGCATTCGACCACGACAGGTTCCATCTCCATTGCATATAAATAAAGCGACACTATCAGCTCCCTTATTGACCACCAAGACATCGATAATTTTATCGCTATCAAAATCAGCTGAAGTTATCGCCACTGGATTCGCACCAGTGGCATATTTAATTTGATTTTGAAATGTACCATTCGCACCATTAATCAACATACTGAAGGTATTTTCTCCAGAATTGACTACTACCAGATCTACTCTACTATCGTTGTTGAAATCGTCTGCTCTCATAGCACTTGGAGAAGTACCAACCTTATACTTTAAAGGTCTGTGAAAGCTTCCACTACCATTGCCATATAGCACGGCGATGGAAGATTCATTCGAAAGGCTTAATGCTAAATCTATATGGCTATCATGATTGAAATCAGCTGCCACTACAGCACTTGGACTCATACCAACTTCGTAAAAGATTTGAGCCTGAAATGTCCCATCCCCATTGCCGACCAGTACACTAACACTATTATCACCATAGTTGGTCACTGCCAAATCTATCTTATTATCATCGTTGAAATCATGATATATCATAGAGGTTGGTGTTGTACCAACGCTATAAGTCTGTAAATCCTCAAAAATTCCATGTCCATGTGCAAGTGCTACACTAACGGTGTTATCACCTTGATTGATAACTGCCCAATCGAGTTTACCGTCCTTATTAAAATCGCCTGATATGACATAGATAGGTTGCGAGCCAACATCGTACTCTATTTGAATATCAGAAAATGTACCTTCTTCATCACCCAACACTAAACTAACCATATCATCATCATAGTTTGCTACTAATATATCGATTTGCGTATCATTGTTGAAATAACCTCCTGTCACTGACATCGGATTGTTGCCAACAAAATATTCGATCGAAGTCTGAAATGTTTTGTCTGGATTACCAAGCAAGACGCTAATTGTTTCAGCTTCCTCATTCGTTACAATAATATCCATGGATCCATCATGGTTCAGATCAATGTTGAATACAGAACTTGGTGCAAAATCTGTCTTATAATGTAATTCAGTCTCATAGTCATTTTTACCATTACCTAGAAGTATATCGACGCTTTGATCGTCATAGTTGAGCAATGCTAAATCAACTTGGTTGATATTTGTGAAATCTCCAAACACTATAGTAACTGGTAATTTTCCAGTGTCAGAAATCTTTGGTGATGGATATGGGTCACTGCATTGATATACTAAAACAACAAGACTCAAAGTTATTGATAGCTCTCATTCTTGTTTTCGCGTGCTGTTCAATTTAACATGCCACAGTATAGCCGTCGGACAGTAAGGTAATACGAAAGTAGAGAACTTGGCCAATGATTCTATTGTCGATCGGGAGACTGCTAGTATGCGTGCGTACGAGTGCAGTGAATTGAAATCAATGTGCGTTGATAATCAGTTGTCTGTGTGTCTCAATTAGAGTGTTCTCCTTACCCACACACACGACAATTTCAAGCCGTGTTTTTACT